CTCTGCTCTGTGACTGAGTCTCTGTGGGAGAAACTGAGTCTAAAGCCGTGACCTTGCCGAAGGTCCCCGGCGCGTGTGCAAGTCCGGGCTATTTTTAGGGCCCTCTTCCAGTCTCACCGTCTGAACCGTCGGCCCGTGAGCTCATCAGCTTGCCCCGGAGAGTTTGCCACAAGCCCGTTCATGCACCAGGACTTGGCCAGGATCCGGGGCCTTCTGGAGTCAGTGGTTGGAAGGTGGGGGGAGGGACCTGGCTCCAGACCCGGTTCACTTTGAATCCAGTGGTACCAGCCAGGGGTGCCAGGAAGAACCTGGGAGGAAGTTGCAATGCCCACCCCGCCCCAGGGCGCACCATTTACCAGTCGCGTCGTGACTCATGGCTCACAGGGAAGCTGGTCCTGTTCCTACTGGTGCCTCGACAAGTCTCCTGGGCAGAGTCAGTGCCCGCCAGCGCCCCCTCCAAAGTATCCATATGGGCTGGGGCTCCCTGCACGGCCATCCGCCCTGAGAGTCCCCTCCCCACAGTGCAGCTGTTCCTTCCCCGTGGAGATGGCTTCTCTGAGGTGGAGACATGGGCCTGAATTCAAAGTCAGAAACACCAGTTGGGGCTGGAGCGATAGCACAGCGGGTAGGGCGTTTGCCTTGCACGCAGCCGACCTGGGTTTGATTCCCAGCCTCTTGTATGGTCCCCTGAGCACCGCCAGGAGTAATTCCTGAGTGCAGAGCCAGGGGTAACCCTTGTGCATTGCTGGGTGTGACCCAGAAAGGGGAAAAAAAAAACAGTTGATGGGAAGGATATGTAAAGCGTTTGCAGACGAGGCTAAAGGTATGATTTATGGATGGTTTTGGGAGGGTTTGGCCCTGGGCCTTTAGCTCTGCCACCTCAGGAGGCAGGCCCTGCCTTTTCCCACAGGAGGACTCGGCTTCCCAGTGCCCCTGCTGTCGGGATTGGAACCCAGCCCCCAGCTGCTCCCCATCTTGTTCCCAGGACCCGACATCCAGGACCTACTACTCCCTTGCTGTGTTCGCTCTGGGGCTCGTTCCCTACTTCCCTGAGCTGTCTCCTGGGTGGGGAGAATGAAGGTGGGAGCCTCACGTGTTTGGTAGCCTGGCCCCGCTGGCTTGGCCATGCCCCTTGGTGCTGCGCCTCCAGCGGGGTCAGGCTGGACTCTTGGGCAGCAGACACTGTCGCAGCAGACACTGCCTCTGTCCTGTGTCTTTTTGGCAGTGCTCAGCCTCCCCCGCCCCCGACTCTGGAGTGGGCGAACAGCCCAAACCTTGGGCCGCCAGTGTTTGGAGCTAGGTCAGAACGGACACTGGCAAAGTAGGTGGTGCTTTCCTGAGGGGGCAGAGGTTAGAGAAGAGGGTTTCTGGGTTCCTGGCAGTTCTGGAGCTTGGGGGATTAAGGCTTCTGAGTAGGAGGGCTGTCATCTGTTGCCCTCCTCTCCTGCTGGGTGTCCTGGTGAAGGCTCGCTCATTCAAGGAAATTTCTGGCACTTCCCTGGCAAGAACTTGTTACCGATCGCCCCTCCCTGAGGAAGAAGACTGGGCAGAGTACTGGGCAGCGCACTTACTGTGCCTCCAACCTGGGTTCAGTCCCAGATACCACATACGGTCCCCTGAGCCCTTACCAGGGGTTAGCCCTGAGCACCCTTGGGTGTGACCCCAAAACCTAAGTAGCTGATTTAATAGGAAGAGGGCTGTTTTTAAAATGGGGAAAGTCCCAGTTCTTAAGAATTCTCTCCGGGAGGCTGGACCCTCCCGGAGAGGATAGTACAGCGGGTCAGGAGTTTACTTTGCATGCACTCGACCGGGGTTCAGTCCCAGGCACCTCATCTGGTCCCCTGAGCCTGCCAGGAGTGATCCCTGACCACTGCCAAGTCTGGCCCAAAAACAAACAAAAGAATTTTCCCGTTAATAATCAATAACTCTCCTAACTTAAGCAGCCCAAGGTGGTCTCAGAATATGTCACTATCCCTTGGCCTGGAAAACCCCTAAGTTGTGCCAATCAAGAGGTTCCTGGCCGGAGAGGTAGTACAGCCCTGCGTGTGGCTGGCCTGGGCTTCATCCCTGGTACCACATATGGTCTCCCAAGCCGTGCCAGGGCTGTTTCCTGGGCACAGAGCGGGGAGGCATATCTTGTGTGCTCAGGACTGACTCCTGACTCTAAGCTCAGCCTTGCCCTGGGCAGGGTTGGCTCCAGTTACAGTGAAACACCCGCTTTGCAAGTGAGGCCCTGAGTTCCATCCCAGCCCTGCCCACATGCTCCCAAAGCTCGCCTCTGGACGCCTGGCAGGCAGTGAGCAGGCAGCTATTCAAGATCACCACAGCCACGAGTGTAGAAAGCAAAGGCAAAAAGGATCCTAAAAAATAAATATAAGAGGGGGCTGGAGCAATAGCACAGCGGGTAGGACGTTTGCCTTGCACGCAGCCAACCCGGGTTCGATTCCCAGCATCCCATATGGTCCCCTGAGCACCGCGGGGGGGGGGGGGGAGGTGATTCCTGAGTGTAGAGCCAGGAGTAACCCCTGTGCATCGCTGGGTGTGACCCAAAAAGGAAAAAAAAATTAAAAAAAAAAATAAAAGCAGGGCCAGAGCTGAATAGTGCAGTGGGGAGGGCATTTGCCTTGCACAGAGTTCCATCCTGGCACCCCATATGGCCCCTCGGGTACCACTGGGTAAGTCCTGAGTGCAGAGCCAGGAGTAACCCCTGAGCATCACCGGGTTTGGCTCAAACACCAAAATAAATAAATGTAAATGTTGGCATACTAGCGTAGAGTACATTTCTCGGTAGTTTGGGGGCCACACCCAGCAGTGCTCAGGGGCTGCTCCTGGCTCGGTGCTCAGGCTTGGCTCCTGGTGCTGCTCAGGAGACGGTGAGCGAAGACTACGGGTGGAGCTCATTGCAGAGCCAGCCTCGGGGCAGATGCCAACAGCATGAGGTGTTTGCCTGGTACGTGGCTGGCCCACCTGGTCTGGTCCCCAGCATCACAGCTAATCTCCTGAGCACTGTTGGGTAGTGTTGGGTGGAGCCTAAACACCAAGGGAAAAGGGAAAGAACAAACTCTTGGTGGAAGATGCGGGCATCGTCCCAGGGGTGCCCTTTGCTTGCTCCTGCTCACTGAGCCGTGAACGTGTGCGGCCTGCCACACGTTTCGAAGATACGAAAAAGCCGCACACCTGAGGCCAAGCACAGTGACTTTCACCGGCTGCAGGGGAGAAAGTGTGAGCCCAGCTGGTGAGAGGCAACAGAGAGCGTGAAAGTGAAAGAACCTACCAGAGCGCCTTCCTGGACCCTCAGGATGCAGAGAATTGCCCAGAAATCCCCACTGGGTGATGGAGTCAGACAGAAGGAGGCCACCAGCCCCTGAGGTCTGGCTGGAGGCTTGGAGCCCCTTCTCCCTCTCCTACTCACCGATCCATGCCCCCCACTCCCGTAAGGCAGGGTCTTTCTTTTTTCTCTTTGTTTTTTGTTTTGGGGCCAAACACAGTGGTGCTCAAGGCTTACCCCTGGCTCTGTGCTCAGGGATCACTGCTGGTAGGACTGAGCAACAGTGTGGGATGCCAGGGGTCAAACCATGGTCAGGCACATGCAAGGCAAGCGCCCTACCTGCTGTGCTATCACTCAAGCCCTTCTTTCATCCACATCCGCTTTGCCCGGTTTGGAAACTTGTGTCCGTGGCAGCCTCTCAATACAGGTGTTTGTTCCTAACCTTGTGTCTTTAGGAGACATCCGGGTGTTCACGTGTACTTGGGGCTGATTCAATTTGTTTTGTTTTGTTTTGGGGCTGGCACACCCAGCGATGCTTAGGTGACTCCTGGATCTGTACTCAGGATCATTCCTGGCAGGCTCAGGGGACCATCTGGGGTGCCGGGGATCGAACCCAGGTTGTCCGCACACAAAGCAGGTGCCCTACCCTTCCTACTATGGCTCCAGCCCGTGATTCACTTTGTGGTGTGGACTACAGACCCGCATTCTCTCCGTTCTGCTGGATTTGGGGGGAAATGTGCATATTCGATAAATTCTGTCAAATGGTTTTGCAAGGCAACTATCCCAATATACACTCCTCTGTCACACCTGTCTTTAAAAAAGTATTATATTACTAAGGTTAAATATTGAGTGCTTCATCACTGTTGTCCAACTACCGCCACTGTCTGTCTCAGGATTCTCCTATCATCCCAAACAGAAACTCCCATCTAATAACAAAACTCTGCCCCTCCCTACTCTAGCGCAGCACAACCTCTATTTTACTTTCTCCATAAATCTGGGCGAGCTCGGCCGTGCAGTACTTGTTCTTCCTGTTTTCAAGGCTTCTCCATATTGTAGCGTGCATCAGAGCTTTGTTCCTTTAAAGGGTGACTAACTCCGTTCGGAGTGCATGCCAGATTTCGTTTTGTTTGCCTATTGATGGACTGGGGTGGTTTCCATCTTTCAGCTATTGTGCATGATGAGGTGATAGAAATTTGTGTACAAGTGTCTCTGGCTATCTTCCTATTTGCAAGTTGCCCCCCCCCCCCCACAAAAGTGGCCCTCCTGTGTGTGAAGTGTCAGCATGTTATGACTGGATTTGCATTTATTGGTGCGTAATGACCTGCACTGTGTGTGTGTGTGTGTGTGTGTGTGTGTGTATGTGTGTGTGTGTTAGGAGTGGCGGGAGCAAGTTCAGGGCCATGTCCAGCAGTGCTCAGGGCTTACTCTTGGCCCTCTGCGCCCATTCCTACTGAGGCTCTGGGGACTGTATCAGAGCCAAGGATCAAACTTTCTTCATCCCTGGCTCCCTCTGTGACCTTTGTCTCAGCTCACACACACACAGTTCCACTGCCCGTTGGCCTTAAAGGGGCCCCCCCTTGAGCCAGCACTCAAAGCCCATCAGCCCCCAGGGCACGCTGCTGTGCAGGGGAAGTCAGTGGCTGGTCGGGGACGCTGGTTGGGGTTTGTTCCTCCTGGGGGGGCCTGGCTGGGAGCTGCCGCCCCCACCTTCCAACCTCTCTTCTCTTCACAGTGGCTTATGGAGGATGCCTGGAGCAGAAGCCCACCCTGCCTGCGACCAGCCCCAGCTTCAGTGAGCTGAGCCGTAGAGCAGTCCAGGTAGAGTGACAGTCTGCCGGCAGAGAACAGGAAGGCTGCGCTCTGTGCAGGTCCACATGGTGACTGCCGGGTGGCCAACCTGAGCCAAGTCCCCCTTCCTGGGCAGCCTCAGGCAGGCCTGGAGCGCTCTGGGGGTCTGGGTGAGGCTTTAAGTAGTGTGGTGCCTGCAGCTCCCCAGGTGGGGGCGCCAGAGAGTCATCCAGCTGGGTCCCAGCTCTGGGGGGGGGGGGAGGGGGAGGCTGGATCCCTTATCCCACCTCCCTTTCCTTCTTTCCCATATCATCCGGGCATCACCAGGGTGGCCCAAAAGACAAAACAGAAAAAGAATGGGGGGGGGGGAAGCAAGACTACAGCAGGTACGGCTCTTGGCTTGTCTGGGGTGACCCCCCCCCACTAGACTGAAGCGTGTTGGAGGTATCGGCTTGGCCCCTCTGCCTGACACGTCCACTCTCCTTGCAGGACAGAGAGGCTTCGCCGCCCTGCCTCCACAGCCGGATCTTACGACGACGCAAGAGGGAGTGGGTGGTGCCCCCGATCTCTGTCCCTGAGAATGGCAAAGGGCCCTTCCCCCAGAGGTTGAATCAGGTACGCCAGGGCCAGGGGGCTGCGGAGACCCCCATGCAGAGCATGGACACAGAACGGGGGGTCCCCAGAGAGCGCGGGACTGCCGAAGCAAGGCCCCATCCGGGGTGTCCTGCTCCCCCTGCTGTGAGCAGTTGGTCCCCGGGTCAGCTCCGTGTCCATCTGATTCCAGCTGAAGTCCAACAAGGACAAAGGCACCAAGATCTTCTACAGTATCACAGGGCCCGGGGCAGACAGCCCCCCTGAGGGCGTCTTCACCATAGAGAAGGAGACGGGCTGGTTGATGCTGAACAAGCCGCTGGACCGGGAGAAGATTGCCAAGTACGAGGTGAGTCACCCAGGAAGAGCAGGACCTGGGGGCAGGAGGGGTGGGGCAGGGCTGGGGAGGCTGACCCCTGACCTCTGGACCCGCAGCTCTTTGGCCACGCCGTGTCGGAAAACGGGGCCTCCGTGGAAGAGCCCATGAACATCTCCGTCATCGTCACCGACCAGAACGACCACAAGCCCCAGTTCACCCAGGAGGTCTTCCGAGGCGGTGTCTCCGAAGGGGCGTTGCCTGGTACGAGGACCGGGGTAGGGGGACAGCTGGACACACATCTCACTTTGGGGCACACTCCTGGACCCGGGGCTGGAGTCGTAGTACACTGGGCAGAGCGTGTGCCTTGTACACAGCTGTGACCGAGATCCAATTCCAACCCACGTGGTCTCCTGAGCACCGAGCCGGGAAGGGCTTGTGAGCACTGAACCAAATCACCTCCCCCCTGGAGCCCGAGTAATAGTATAGTGTGTAGGCCTTTCACCTTGCAGGTGAGCCAGGTTTGATCCCCGGTCCCCCGTTTGGTCCTCCAAGCACTGCCAGGAGTGAACCCTGAGCACAGAGCCTGGAAGCCCTGTGCACCGCCGGCTATGGTCCAAAAACCAAAATGAAAAAGAAGAAAATTAATCAGTACTTTATATTTTTGTATAGAACCCAGGTGGGTCGGTACTTTAGACAACTGTCCAAACACTGTCCTCCCGTTGTTCATCAATTTGCTCAAGCGGGCCCAGTAACGTCTCCATTGTGAGACTCGTTGCTACTGTGTTTGGCATATCGAATACGTCACGGGGAGCTTGCCAGGCTCTGCCGTGCGGGCGAGATACTCTCGGTAGCTTGCCGGGCTCTCTGAGAGGGGCGGAGGAATCGAACCCAGCTCAGCTTTGGAAACCTCGGTGCTGCACCCCAGGATCTGGAGTCCTGCTGTCCTTGCCCTGAGCTTGGCTCCGCCCCTAGCTCCCCTGGTGGTTTTGCCAGGAGGAGGGTGGTCGGGACACGGCCTGCAGGCTGTTGGGGTTCAGTCTTGTGGCCACAGCAGGTGGCCTGAAGGGCTCCTTCTGGGCCTGTACCCCACCTCCGATGCAAGGTCCAAGGCAGGGCACTGGCTTCCGTCCATGTCACGAGGCAGGAGATGACACTGAGCCCGTGAGCAGGGGAGCTGGGGGTGGGAGGACTGCACCTCATGCCTCCCGTCGCCTCCCCGCAGGCACCTCTGTGATGCAGGTGACAGCCACGGACGAGGACGATGCCATCCACACCTACAACGGGGTGGTTGCTTACTCCATCCACAGCCAGGAGCCCAAGGACCCCCACGCCCTCATGTTCACCGTGCACCGGAGCACGGGCACCATCAGCGTCGTCTCCAGTGGCCTGGACCGGGAGGTGGGTGGATCCTTCCCCTCCCCACCCCCATGCCCAGCACTGAGCAGCGGACCCGGGTCAGCTAGGAGTGAGGGGCAGGTGGCCGGCTGTCTAACTGCTAGTTGATGCCTTCACCTAAACCCCGGCTCCTATTGCAGGAGCCCAGGGTTGGGGGCCAGTACCGGCCCAGAGGGACCCTGCAGTCCTCCTCTCCCTGCGCCCCTCCCCCTCGAGCACTGAGTGGAAGCATCACGGCTGGGGCGGAGACAGGAGCACTCCCCTCCCCAACACTCCTCCCAAGGCTGAGAACCCCGACTCAGACTCCCGGTGACCCCTGCCCCTCCACAGAGAGTCCCCGAATACAGGCTGACCGTGCAGGCCACAGACATGGACGGCAGTGGCTCCACCACCACCGCCACAGCCATCGTGGAGGTCCTCGACGCCAACGACAACCCTCCCGTGTTCGAGCCCCAGGAGGTAATGCCCCGTTCTCCCCGGGCGACGGACCGCCATGGTCTTCCCTGGCCTGTCTGACTTCAAGCACTAGTCCCACCCCTCTCTGGCTGTGTGACCTTCCTCAAACGGCTTGCCCCCGCTGTGCCCCGTTTCCTCATCTGTAAAGTGGAGCTTATGATTAAAAAGAAAAAGCAAGGCTGGAGTGATAGTACAGTGGGGCGGGCATTTGCCTTGCACGCCGCTGACCTGGGTTCAATTCCCAGCGTCCCATATGGTCCCCTGAGCATGGCCAGGAGTAATTCCTGAGTGCATGAGCCAGGAGTAACCCCTGTGCATTGCCAGGTGTGACCCAAAAAGCAAAAAAAAAAGAAAAAGCAACTTTTTGACAGATTTTTTGGTGTCTATGCTCAGGGGATCACACAGTACTGGGCATCGAACCTGGACTTCTTAGGTTCAACTTAGCAGCACCCTGTCACTGCAATGGGTGCCTGCTATGGACGTCATTTCAATAAGCAGCAGGGGGCCAGAGAGATGGTGCAGAGCGCAGGGCTCCTGCCTTGCACTAGTTCAATTCCAGTTTGATGTCCAGCACCTGTTTGGTGCCCTGAGCCCTGCCAGGAGTAAGTCCTGCAAACAGCCCCAGGTGGGCATGGTCTGTGCCCCGTGGGCCGGGTGGTCCCGTCCCAGAGAGGAGGAGAGGCAGCAGCTCCCGGAGCCAGCGAGCAAGTGGCCTGTCTCTGCTCTGACCATGCTCCGACCATGCTCTGACCCTCAGTACGAGGCGCACGTGCCCGAGAACGCCGTGGGCCAGGAGGTGCAGAGGCTGACAGTGACCGATCTGGACATCCCCAACTCGCCGGCGTGGCGTGCCACCTACCGCATCGTGGGCGGTGACGAGGGCCACTTCTCCATCACCACCGACCCTGAGAGCAACCAGGGGATCCTGACGACCAGCAAGGTGGGTCCTTGGGCGCCCCCTCCTGAGCCCCCAGCACGTCCAGGCTTCCTTGTTTGGGGAATCCCTTGGTTCAAACCTGACCCCTCATCAAGTAGGCAAGTCATGGATGTTAACGGAGCGTTTTGCACCCCCATCCTCGGGTCTGTGGCTGCCCCCAATCAGCCTTTCCACACAGAGGACCGCTGTTGCCTTTGCTCCACAGCTCAGTGATGTGTGTGAGTGTGAGATGCTTTATGGTACCTAGAGGAACAGGCGGAAGCCAGAGTCGGCAGGTAAAGGGTTGCCTTGCACTCGGTCAGCCCAGGTTCCACCGCTGGCATCCAAATTCCCCCGACACCCCAGGAGTGATCCCTGAGCTTAGAGCCACGAGTAAGCCCTGAGCTGCCGGCTGTGATCCCAGAACCAAATAAATAGCTTAATGGTAAGCATCAACTTGTCTTTGGATAAAATTGGTGCTTCAGGAAGACAAGTCTGTCTCTGATTTATTTTAGCCTCCTCCAAACCTACCGTGAAAAAGGGCCCAGTTTGAGAAGCAGTTTATAATTTTTTGTTTTGGGACCACCTTGGCTCTGTGCTCAGGGGTTGCCCCCGGTGGTGCTCTGAGAACCATGCAGTTCCAGAGTCAAGCCTGGGTATATGACTTCAGGTTTTGTTGTTGTTCTGCGGTGCCAGCAGTGAATTCAGGGCCTCCCACATGTGTTTCTGACGGTGCTACATTTTATTCAAGATTGTATTTAAGATTGTCTTGTATTTAAAGAGCATTTTGGGGGGCCAGAATGCTGGTGCCATGGGGAAGGCACTTGCCTTAGACATAGTTCAATTCCTGGCACCACATTTCCTCTCCTGAGTCCTGCCAGGAGTGGTCGATCCCTGAGCACAGAGCCAGGAGTAAGCCCTGAGCACTGCCAGGTGTGACCCAAAACCAAAACAAAGTAGAACAAACTAAGTATTTAAGGGTGGTTAGATAGTACAGGGGTTCAGGTGCCTGCCTTGCATCCCAAAACTCGACTCCAGTTTTAAGGTGGTCCCTTGACCACCATCAAGGGTTACTTCTGAGCAAAGAGTCAGGAGTGGCCCCTGAGCACCACTGGATATGACTCTTTCCCACCCACTCCTGCCAATAAATAAATAAAATTCAAATTCACAGGGGCATTTTATTTTTATTTTATTATTTTATTTTTTAAATTTTTATTTCCATAAAGCTGTTCACAATAATTAATTGCATTCAATATTTTTTTTTAATTTTTATTAGTGAAACACCATGAGGCACAGTTGTAGACTTACAAATTTTTGTGCTTGGGTTTCAATTATACAATGATCAAATACCCATCCCTCCACCAGTGCCCATTTTCCACTACCATGGACCCCAGTATCCCTCCCACCCCCTATCCCACCCTGCCTCTGTGGCAGGGCATTCCCTTTTGTTCTCTCTCTCCTTTTGGATGTTGTGGTTTGCAAAAGAGGCTTTGAGTGGCAATTATGGTCTATAGTCTACTTTCAGCATGTTTCTCCCATCCTGGGAGGATCCTCCCAACACCCTTTATTTGGTGCTCCCAGAGGGAGCATTTTAAAGGTTATCTTCAGGGGGCTGGAACGATAGCACAGTGGGTAGGGCGTTTGTCTTGCACGCGGCCGACCCGGGTTCGATTCCCAGCATCCCATATGGTCCCCTGAGCACCGCCAGGAGTGATTCCTGAGTGCAGAGCCAGGAGGAACCCCTATGCATCACTGGGTGTGACCCAAAAAGCAAAAAAAAAAAAAAAAAAAAAGTCATCTTCAGTCCTTAGGGATTGTACAGGGGTTAAGGGGTTTGCCTTGTTATGAGACTGACCCAAGGTTAAGCCCCAGCGCCGCATGGTCCCCTGAGCACTGCGAGGAGTACCCTAAGCAGAACTGGGAAACCCTCCCCAAACCCATCAGTGTGGTCCAACTCCCTCCAACAAAAATTTTTTTAAAGACATGAATAGTCTTTTTCATGCAACAGATTCTTTGTATGACTTTGCCCCATAAAGTAAAAACAGTATGAAATAAAATGGGCTTATAACTAACCTAACTTCTGTGTAACTGAGGGGAGGGGCACACAGTGGTGCTCAGAGGTTCCTCCTGCCTCTGAAATCAGGGGTCTCTTCCGGCAGGGCTTAGGGACCACACAGGGTGCTAGGGATCAAACCAGATGAGTCACGTGCCAGGCAAACATCCTGCACACTGTGCTACCTTCCTGAGCCCTCACTCAGATCCGTTCTAAAGAAATGGACTGTACTCGGTGTAAAATAAAGGGAAAATGTGCCGATTTTGTTTTTAAACTTTAAAGTTCCTGTCTGTAAACAGTCGGGCCAGCTCTGGCCGCAGATGTGCTGACGGGCCGGTGCGTGCATCCAAACCCGAGTGGCCCGCAGTTGGCCCCGGCCCACCACACGTGCCCCACCATACCACACCGAGGTCTTTCCAGATGGCTCTGAGGAAAAGGCACGAACAAATCAAATTAGGAGATCCCCTCAGAAGTCGCGTTCTTAGAAGATCCGGTTTATATTAAAACCACACCAGAAATGTGGGCGTGTAAGACGCATTCTAGACTAACGCTAAACAGACCTTCCACAGCGAGAAGGGTGGCCGCGTCACAGGGGGAGCGGGACAGTCTGGCTGTCCCCACCCAGGCTCCACTCCCGACCGCGGGAAAGTCCTCCACAGTGCTCGGCCGCCCCCGAGGGTGGAGTCACATTTTGGGGTGATCGATGTCCCAGGGAAGAGGCTGTGTGCTTGCTGGGGGGGCTTGAGTCTCTCGTTCTCTCCCCCTGTGCCCTGCCCGGGGCCCCCCTCTCTGCTGGGTCGCTCAGGGCCTTCCTCCTCTTCATCCCCAGGGCTTGGACTTCGAGACCAAGAGCCAGTACAGCCTGTCCGTGGAGGTGACCAATGAGACCCCCTTCGTTGTGAAGCTCCCAACCTCCACAGCCACCGTCGTGGTCCTCGTGGATGACGTGAACGAGGCCCCCGCGTTTGTGCCGCCCTCCAGGGTGGTGGAGGTCCCAGAGGACGTGGGTCCCGGGGAGTCCGTGTGCGTCTACACGGCACAGGACCCAGATCGGGGGACTCAGAAGATCAGGTAGGCGCCACAGACTCCAGGCGGGAAAGTGGGCTGGTATGCCCACGTCCACCCCTCCCAGTAGCCCCCTGCACCCTCCCCTGCGCTGGGCCCGGGGTGAGAGGCCTTTTCCTAGGACCCTGCTGGCAGCCCCCAGTGTTGTCGCCTGCTGGCACGAGGCGGTTTCTCGCGGTGAATTGAGGGGGGAATCTCAGTGCCCGGGCGTGGCTTCTCGCCCTTGTCTCCCAGTTACCGCATCCTGCAAGACCCGGCTGGGTGGCTCACGATGGACCCTGACAGCGGGCAGGTCACTGCTGCCGGTGGCCTGGACCGCGAGGACGAGCAGTTCGTGAGGGACAACATCTACCAAGTCACAGTCTTGGCCACGGATGATGGTATGAGCTTCCTCTGGGCCACCACACGGGCACCACATGGGCACCTGTGGTTCTCCCAGTGACATGACAGCCCCTGATGCTTGTGGGGTGGGAGGCCATTGGCAAATTAATCTGGAGGGTCAGAGGGGTCTTCAGGAGAGACGTTTTTGTCGTTGTTGTTGTTTTGGCTTTTTGGCAATGCTCAGGGGTTATTCCTGGCTCTCTACTCAAGAATTACTCCTGCTGGTGCTGGGGGAACCATATGGGATGCCAGGAATCCAACCTGGGTCAACCGCATGTAAAGCAAATGTACCTGCTGTACTGTCACTCTGGCCCTAGTATTTTGTTTTTGTTTCTGAGGCAGGGTGGTGCTCAGGGATCATTCTTGGCGGGGCTCATGGGACCATATTGGGTGTTGGGGATCCAACCTAGATTGACCATGTCCAAGGCTGGGGCCCTACACCAAGGGAGAGGGGGATGTGTGGGGTCAGGTGCACATAGGTGCACAGGCACTGAAGAACTTTACATGTGTGGGGGGTGTGTTCATTGCTGAGCTGTAGAGGAATCTGTTTTGTTTTGAGTTTTGGGGGAGATTATGTTTAGTTTTGGGGGGCCACATCCGATTGTGTTCAGGGGCTATTCTAAGACTGCCCCTGGGGGAGCTTGAGCAAGAGCACAGCGGGGAGAGCATTTGCCTTGCATGCAGCTGACCCGGGTTCATCCCGGCATCTCATATGGTCCCCCAAGTTCCTCCAGGAGAAACTCCTGAGCACAAAGCCAGGACTAACCCTTGAGCACTGCCAGGTGTGGCCAAAAGGAAAAAAAGAGACTCTACAGCCTAAGTCTGTGGGTCTCTGAGCCTGGATGGGCCGTTGTCCCTACGCGTGAATGACTGAGAGTGCCCTGCCTGCCTTGGCCACACACTGCAGGGCCCCTGGGCCTGAGGGCCATGAGACCCTTGAGGCCCTGCCAGGGTCTCCGTCCTGTGCCGGGGATGGGAAGTGGCCGCCACTGGGCAGCATTGACAAGCCCACAGATCCCACAAGGCCAAGCGAGCAGCGTGGGGATCCGAACCCCGGGCTGAACCGGCACACTTTGCCTGCTGACAGGGAGCCCCCCCACCACTGGCACCGGCACGCTCCTGCTGACGCTCATTGACGTTAACGACCACGGCCCGGTGCCCGAGCCCCGCCACATCACCATCTGCAACAGGGACCCTGCACTGCAGGTGCTGAACATCACTGACCGCGACCTGGCGCCCCACACGGCCCCCTTCCGGGCGCGCCTTGCACATGACTCCGACGTCTCCTGGAGCGCCGAGGTCAGCGACAGAGGTAACTGCGCCCAGCCCCAATCCTCGAAGCCCCTCTGGGGTCTTGGCCCTTGCGGGTGGAGAAACTAAGGCCCCGGTGGGAGGGCGGGAGGGCCCGTGTCCCACAGAGAGCCTGGGGACAACTGACCGTGGGCATTGTGTGGGCGCCCAGGTCTCAAACACCCACACACACTCGCACACAGATCTCACACACACACACACACACACCCCTGGGTCTCTCTCAACACACACATTCTCACATACAGCTGGGTCTTACACAGATTCACACCTGGGTCTCACACACCCCCATGGGTCTCCCACACACTCACACCCAGGTCTTACACAGATTCACACCTAGGTCTCACACACACTCGCACACAGGTCTCTCACACCGCTGGGTCACTCACACTCACACACACCCAGGTCTCACACAGATTCATATCTGGATCACACACACATACACTCGCATGCAGGTCTCTCTCTCTCTCTCTCTCTCTCTCTCTCTCTCTCACACACACACACACACACACACACCTGGTTCTCTCACACAGATTCACATCTGGATCTCACATACACTCGCATATAAGTCTCTCACACACACCCAGCTCTCTCTCTCTCTCTCTCCCCCTCCCTCCCTCTCTCTCTCTCTCTCTCTCACACACACACACCCAGGTCTCTCTCACTCACACATACACACACACACACACACACACACACACACAAGCTCCAGGGGCACATGGGGAAACAAAGGCTCACAGAAGCTCCCATCCAAGTATCAGGCTTTGAGCCCAGCTCCCAGCCGCGTCACCCCTGTGTGCCGCTGCCTTTTCTCTTTCCTCTTCTCAGTTTTATCCCTGTTGATGCTGAGGATAAGGCTTGGCAGGGAGGGGATTAAATTGAGCCGCTAGGTTAAATTGAGAGGGGGCTGGTGGGCATCAGTGAATGAGGGCCCAGGGGATGAGGACGCTGGAGCAGCCAGGCCCCTGGAGAAACGGTGCGAACTGTGCGTCAGACGGAGACAGTCGGGGCTGAAGCGTGTGCTCTGTGGGGGAGCCCCAGGTTCCACCTCAGCACCCCCAGGTTAGCCCGGCAGCACCGCATCCTCTGGCGCTGGCATCAAATTGCTGGCCCTGGTGGCAGAGTATTGCCAGTGGGGGTCCCACACTTCCTGAGCACCCCTAAGAGGGTCCCTCACAAAAGAAAAGGAAAAAATGTAGGATTTTTGGTTTTTTTGCCAGAGTGGAAAAAGCTGCGAGAGATATCTTATTCAGAGGGAGAACACAGGCTCGAAAGAGCAAGCCTATTTGTTCTTTTTTGCTTTTGTCTCTGAGACACACCTGGTGGGGCTCAGGGGTCATTCCCAGCAAGCTCGAGGGACACTGTGTGGTGCTGGGGATTGAACTGGGGTCAGCTGCATGCAAGATAAGTGCCTTAACCCTTGTACTGTTTCTCTGGCCTGGTTATTGCTTTTTTTTTAAAAAAAAGAAAGAAATGACTATGTTGATTTTAAAAAAATTTTTTTATCCCAATGACCATTTCCACGCTGGTGGGTCTGGCTGTCTGACCTGTCGGCCCCTGGCCCAGGCACGCCTTTGGACTCTCCTCATTGGCCTTGTGTCCCCAACTGTCACCTCCTTGGATGCTCAGAGTGTGTGGCCATCTATATTCTGCAGGAGACGCTGTTGCCCTGTCCCTGAAGAAGTTCCTGAAGCAGGACACGTACGACGTGCACCTGGCCCTGTCCGACCACGGCAACAGGGAGCAGCTGACGGTGATTAGGGCCACTGTGTGCGACTGTCACGGCCACGTAAACGAATGCCCCGACCACTGGAAAGGGGGCTTCCTCCTGCCCGTCCTGGGGGCCGTGCTGGCTCTGCTCGGTGAGTCTCACACCCCGTTCCCAGGGCTGGCCCCAGCCCACGTGGTGTCTGCTCCTTGCACCCTTCCCCCAAGAAAGTGCCAGGCTCAGGGATAGAGTGTGGAGCTGGCAGGTGCAGCCTGACCTCAGGTGTTGGGCACCTCCGCTCCTGGGCCCCCCCCCCCCAGCCCCTGGGACCCCCAGGCCACTGCATCTGTATCACCCAGCACAGGCCCCATCAGACTTGTGCTCTAAGCAGAGCCGGCTGTCGGGGTGTGGATCAGCCCTCTGGGACTTCCGGGCAAGCTTGAAGGAGTGGGTGTGCTGGGCTCCTGCCCAGAGCCTCTCCAGGGCTTCCCATCCCATGCAGGGAGCAGATGATATGAGCACAGAGCCAGGAGTAACCCCTGAGCATCACCGGGGGTGGACCCAAAACAAAAAGAAAATTTAAAAAAGAAGGCTGGAGGGATAGTGGGGAATGTGCTTCCTTGCATGCAGCTAACCCAGGCTGCATCCCAGACTTCTCATATATAATCCCTGAGCCCCACCAGGGGTCAGCCATGAGCACAGAGCCAAGAGTCAGCCCTGAGCATCACTGGGTGTGGCCCAACAGTGGCAGGAAAAAAAAAAAGCACTAAAGAGAAAAGTCACACTTGCAGGGCTGGAGCAATAGCACAGTGGGTAGGGCGTTTGCCTTGCACGTGGCCGACCCAGGTTCTATTCCCAGCATCCCATATGGACCCCTGAGCACCGCCAGGAGTGATTCCTGAGTGCAGAGCCAGGAGGAACCCCTGAGCATCGCCGGGTGTGACCCAAAAAGCAAAAAAAAAAAATAGTCACACTTGCTGGGCGATTGCGTGCGGGCAGGTTGCATTCCCCACGGGGGTGAACTGGGGCCTTGCACACGCGTGCGGGGGGCTTTAGGTAGGGATGGGCGTGCTCTGGGGGCCCGGGGCCTGCTGGAGGGGCGCTGGGAGGAGGCTTCTATAGTCTTCCCAGCACTTGGGGTTTCCCCGGAGCCAGGGAGCCGAGAGAGCGTGCTGGGCGCTGGCAGCGATGGACGGTGCCAACGGGGGCGGCCCCAGGGCCCCACCTCACACTTGCCCTCCACAGTGCTCCTGCTGGTGTTGCTCCTGCTGGTGCGCAGGAAGCGGAAGGTCAAGGAGCCCCTGCTGCTCCCGGACGACGACACGCGCGACAATGTCTTCTACTACGGCGAAGAGGGGGGTGGCGAGGAGGACCAGGTGGGCACATGGGGATCCAGGGGAGGAGGACCAGGTGGGCGCGGGGGCAAGGGCTTGGGACAGGGCGCCTGGGGTCACCTCTCGGGCAGTTGCACCCACCACCTCGTGAGCTCTGCTGACCAGCACCCGTCCTGCCACTCTGTCCACTCACGCTGGCCCTTCCTTCCCCTTCCAAGAAGCCTGGCCCAGGTCACTGTGGATCCCAGTGATTTGGGGCCTCCTGTTACTTTTGGGGTGTGGGTGTGTTCAGGTCAGGGCACTCAGAAATCTGAGACCTTGGAGAGCCTGGCAGGTACAGCGCTTGCCTTGCCCATGGCCAGCCCCCAACCCCCGTTCAGTCCCCAGCACCCCAAATGGTTCCCCAAGGCCACCAGGAGTGGTCAAAGTGCAGAGCCAGGAGTAAGCCCTGAGCACCACCGCTGTGGCCCTAAAACTGGGGGAAAAAAAAACACAGAAATCTCTGACGTCGGTCCAGGGGATGGGATGTGCCCAGCAGACTCCTCGTCACTCCTCACCGCTCTCTCCTGCACTTACCCACAGGACTACGACATCACTCAGCTGCACCGGGGCCTGGAGGCGCGCCCGGAGGTGGTTCTCCGCAATGACGTGGCACCCACTTTCATCCCCACCCCCATGTACCGGCCCCGTCCGGCCAACCCTGACGAGATCGGCAACTTCATCATCGAGGTGAGATGGCCCGGGCCGGGCAGGGCAGCCAGCAGCACCCGGGAGGGAGCACAGGACAGGCCTGCTGAGGGGAGGAAACTGCTGGCCTTGATTCTTGTTACGTAAAACCCTGCCTTGAGGGGCTGGTGCGATAGTACAGCGGGTAGGGCTTTTGCCTTACATGCTTTGGTCCCCAGCATCCCATATCAAGCACCATCAGGAATGATTCCTGAGTGCAGAGCCAGGAGTAAACCCTGAGCATCACTGGATGTGGCCCAAAAATAAAAAATAAAAAATAAAATTAAAAAACCCAGCAGTAGGGCGTTTGCCTTGCACGCAGCCAACATGGCCGACCCGAGTTCGATTCCTCCGCCCCTCTCGGAGAGCCCGGCAAGCTACCGAGAGTACCTCGCCCGCATGGCAAAGCCTGGCAAGCTCCCCGTGACGTATTCGATATGCCAAACACAGTAACAACAAAGTCTCCAATGGAGACGTTACTGGGCCCGCTCGAGCAAAAAAACCCAAAACCCTGAGATGGAATAGCAGGCTAGAGCACACACTTTGCCTGCAGGGGGCCTGGGTTTGAGTCCCAGCATCAAATGGTTCCCCCCAAGCACAAGGCCCAGAAATAGCCCCTGAAAACGGCTGGGTATGGCCCCAAACCAAAGATAAAACCATCCCCACATTTGCAGAGGGCTTAAGAGTAGGCCCAGGGGAGCTGGAGCACAGCGGGGAGGGCGTTTGCCTTGCACGCGGCCAACCCGGGTTCAATTCCCAGCATCCCATACGGTCCCCTGAGCACTGCCAGGGGTAATTCCTGAGTGCAGAGCCAGGAGTAACCCCTATGCATCTCCAGGTGTGACCCAAAAAGAGAAAAAAAAATGACACTTGAGAGACTGAAGCAGAAGTACATAATAAGGAGAGTGTTTGCCTTGAACACAGTCGACCTGGGTTCAATCACCAGCATCCCATATGGTCCCCCAAGCACCACCAGGAGTAATTCCTGAGTGCAGAGCCAGGAGTAATCCCTGAGTATTGCTGGGTATGACCCAAACGAAACAAAACAAAGTTACACTTGAGGGGGCCAGAGCGATAGTACAGTGGGTAGGGCGCTTGCCTTGCCCATAGGCGACCCCAGGTCTAATCCCAGATGGTCCCCCAGCCCTCTGGAATCAATCCCTGAGTGCAGAGCCAGGGTAAGCCCTGAGCACCGTTGGGTGTGGCCCCCAAAACAAAGAGTTGCCCTTGACTTCTCCGCTGTAGGACGGAGGGGGTGGTCAGCACCTCCCATCCCCTTCTGGCCCACCGTGTAGGCCTGGTTCCTCTCAGCCTCGCAGACCTGCGCGGGGGGCGGGGGGCGGGCTCACCTGCACACCCCCTCCCTCCCACTCCTGGCCATCTCACCCCCGCCCTGTCCCCTCAGAACCTGAAGGCGGCCAACACGGACCCCACGGCGCCCCCCTACGACTCCCTGCTGGTCTTCGACTACGAGGGCAGCGGCTCTGACGCGGCCTCCCTCAGCTCCCTCACGTCGTCCGCCTCGGACCAGGACCAGGACTACGACTACCTGAACGAGTGGGGCAGCCGCTTCCGCAAGCTGGCCGACATGTACGGGGGCGGCCAGGACGACTAGGCCCCCGGCCCGGCTCAGCCGAGGACTCGCGCTTGTTGAGAAATGGCCCCGTCAACCGAGCAAGTCAGAGGGGGGAGGCCAGAGCCCGGCGTCCCGGGGCTGGATTCTGAGCCTGTCTGATGGAGGGGACTGCGCCCCTCAGTGCCAGCTCGGCAGGACACACCCCCACCTCCCGAGGCTGCCCCCAAAACCTCCCCAGGGCCTCGCCGGAGTCCTGGGTCCACCTGGCTTTCTGAGTGGACGCACCTGCCTCCCGAGGGGAAGGCCTCTCATCTCTGTTTGATTTTTTTTTTTTTTTAACGCGGTTTTCAGAAACTTAGAGGTGGGTTCAAGCCAGACCCCGGGGTCCTCCTTGGCACCGGCGAGCATTGTCCCCCAGGCCCTGGTGCCAGCGCATCTAGCCTGCCCTTTATTTTTTATTTCCCCCACCAAGCTGTAGATAGATGAAGGGTGATGACAATCGTGTAAATGTTCTAGGAGTTTTTTTCTATTAAAGAAACTTTTCCCAGAGATGCCGGGCTATGAACTGTTCTTGTACAGCAGCCGCCTGACTTCTGGAGCTTTGAGCCACAGATCAACCCCACCCCACCCCCACACTTGGAAAAGGGCCATTGTGGAGGGTTTTTCACAGGGTCGCACCTAGTGGGGGGAGGCAACCCACTCGTGCACACACTCAGCTTGTGCTCTGCCCCTGGGTCACCTCAGCATCCCTGCCCGGTTCCTGCACCCAGAGAGACCCGCTCAGGGTTGGGTCTGAGCCCGGGTGTGAGGCCTGGTCTGTCCCGGAAGGCAGGGTGTCACAGAGGGCAGCCCAGTTCCACTACTTCCTAGCAAGGCTGCAGCCCAATCCTTGCATCCGATTTTTCATGGACCAACAGGGAAGCTTCTTCATTTGTTTTATTTAGGGGCTACTTGGTACAGAGGGTGGGTGCTGGTGGTGCTCAGGGGACCGGGTGGTGGCAGGGATCAGGCCCTGGACTCTTGAGGTCACCTCCAACCCCAGCCCATAAAAAGGGCAGTGACTGAGCAGCCTGAGCAGCAGCCTGAGCCATTCACTCGGGGAGGGAAGGGACGGCTCTAAGGAGACAGGCAGCTCCCAGCCATGATTCATGGAGGAGCCCAGTTTCTGAGCTGGGAATGTGGGGGACCACTGTTCTCGTTCCGGGCCCTCTTTCCATGCAACCCCAGAGTCTTAAGCTTTAGCTGTCAGGACCTAGAGTTAGCCAAAATATTCGTAGCTGTGGGTCACCAGTGCCTCCCTCAGAGTGGACACTAACCGGAAGTGAGCCCTCCACAGAGTGCGTCACCGTGGGCCTGAGTTCTGTCTTAAGCTGGTAAGTGTCCCGCTGTTGTCCCTGGGGAGAACAGCTTGCAACCTCCTGTGCAGGACCTGTGCCTCCTGTCCTGCTCCCTGTGTGAGTGTGGCCACCCCTCTGTGGACACTAATCCAGCATTTTGCTCCTCAGAGTTTTCAACTCCTTGAAGGGACGGAGGGGGGTGCTGGAGGGGGATGAGGGGGAGAGGGGGAGGGTACACAGTGGTTACAGAACTTACCTTATGCTGCGACTGACCTGGGTTCCACATGTGGTCTCTTGAGCGCCCCCGCCAGGCGTGATCCCTGAACACAGTTGGGTGTAGCTACAAAACCAGTAAGTAGTAAATAAATTAATAAACTCCCCGAAGCATCTGTGCCCAACCCCCCTTCCCTTCCCATTGGGGAGCAGGCTGGGGCCGGGGTCTGGGTAGGATCAGGGCTACCCAGGGTGCTTGGGTTGGTGCTACAAGGAACTCGGGCTTCAAAGCCCAACTCAGAAGCCAAAAATCCTGAGGCACAGAGATTGTGCAGTGGACACAGCACCTACTAGGTATGTGGTCCATTTCGGTTTGATCCTGAGCATCGCCAGGAGTGACTCCTGAGAACCTCTGAGTGTGGTGCAAACTCCCCCGCCCTGCCAACACTGACTCCTGAGAGCAGAACCAAAAATTGTCTCCTAACATCCCTGGCAGAATGCAAGGATATGAGGGATGTGATGGTCCCTAAATGCTCGTCCTTTGCTGCCCAGCAGAGGGCGCTGTTCCCTCAGCCACAGCCTGGTGAGAGGAGGCGCCCAGGAGGAGGCAGATTAGGGGGACCCCACTGAGTGTCAGGAGCTATCCTGGGCCCTTAGATGCTGGGAGGGGCCAGACAGCAACAGTAGCCACTATCCCAGCCCACAGACTGGGTTTTTAAGTTCCCCTTTTCAAAGGAAATGGAGGTCAGGAACACTAGGGCACATATACAGGAAGTGACTCTTTGGGAATCTGAGTGTGGGCTGCCCAAGCACGACCTCTTTTTGATCGTCGATTTGCTCGAGCGGGCCCAGTAACGTCTCCATTGGAGACTTTGTTGTTACTGTGTTTGGCATATCGAATACTCTCGGTAGCTTGCCGGGCTCTCCAACCTCTTTACTGATAAGAATTTAGAAACTGGAGGCGCTGGAGTGATAGCACAGTGGGTAGGGCGTCTGCCTTGCACGAGGCCGACCCAGGTTTGATTCCCAGCATCCCATATGGTCCCCTGAGCACAGCCAGGAGTAATTCCTGAGTGCATGAGTAACCCCTGTGTATGCCAGGTGTGACCCAAAAATTAAAAAAAAAAAAAGTCGGCAGTGATTCATGGAGCACTTTCTGTTCCGTAGACGGTCCCCTGAGCACCGGCAGGGGTCAGTCCTAAACATAGAGCCAGGAATAGCTCCTTAACATCCCCGAATGGGGCCCCAAAAATTGGAAGGGAGGGAGGAAAGAGAGAGAAGAAGAGGAGGAGGAAGAGGAGGAGGAGGAGGAGGAGGAGGAGGGCAGGGAAAGGCCAGGTGTTATTCCTTTGTCTGGACACCAGGGAGCTGGGGACCTCATACCCACAATCTACCATGGACCACGTCCCCGCCAGGAGCAATTCCCAAGCACCACTGAGTGTGGTCCAAACTCCCCGGCCCCCAAAGGAATCCCAAGCCCCACAAGATAGAAGTCAGCGTGGTTTGATTGACTGAAGGCAAAGGGGGTGAGGGGCGCAGGTGAGGGGCTCCCTTGCCCTTCTGACCCCACCCAGCCCCGCTTCCCTTCACCATGGTCTCAGCCTCGGCCAGGGTGCGGTCAGGACTCTGGACGCCCACCTGGGCCCGACTCTTGGGCAGGGGAGCCCCGACTCGGCCACTCTGCACACGAAGGAGCCCCGCCCTCTGCAGATGCTCCCTCTGGGGACCCTGCTCACTTGCCTTCCGTGTCACACTCTGCAGCCAGGGGCAGAGCTATGCAGACCCTCGGGCGAGTGGGGGCACCATCCTGTAGGCTGGGCTCTGAGGCCTGCGGCTGTAGCAGCGCTGTGAGCAGGCGGCAGGGTTTGGGGAGCAGTAGTCGGGCACCCTGTGTGGTCAGGGGTGCAGCCAGTGGGATGGGGGGGTCCCCACCCCTCCCGGGCTGAGCTCAGAGCAGGGCGGGTCCCAGCGCCCCTGGGAAAAGGCCTGACGCAGCACCAGGCAGGAGCCGTGGAACCTGCTTGGTGTCGGCTGGGGAGGGACGGGCCTGTCCGGGCCTGTCAGCTGTCGGGTCCAGCGCTGGCCGCAGGAGTGCTGGGGGGGGGGGGGCGGGGGCAGAGAGGAGCCCCAAGTCTGGGGCTATAACGCAGCAACCTTCGTGTCTCCCAGGTCCATCTCCCCCAGACCCCCCGGGAGAGCTCCGGGGTGCAGCCTGGAGCCACAAGTGCTGAGTTTGGGGGAGCACTGTCAGCCCAGGTGGGGATCTCTCCAGGCAGGGACACCTTTCCCTGAGCCCAGAGGGTGCTCCCCTCTCTCTGGGTACTGTCCCTGAGGTTTCCCTGGCTCCTCCCACAGTGCTCATCCACCCGCTGCAGTGCCCGTGACCCCTCAAGGCAGGACTTCCCCTCCCTAGTTGCCCCCTTGCTTTCTTCACTCGAATCCCCCCCCACACACACACACACAGACACCCGCCAGGTGCTCCCCAAATGTCTCAGGAGGGGCCTGGTGGGCTTCCCCAGCAAGGGCGGAAGCCAACGCCCAGGAAGAGGGTGAGTGGGCAGAGTCCTGCAGAGAGAAGGGGGACCCGGCCTGGTGTCTGCTCACCCAACGCTGCCTGTAACCTCCCCAGCCCATTGCACAGAGCAGTAAACTGAGGCGGGAGGGTAGCAGGGCAGCTGGCGCTGGGTTAGGCAGGTGCTGCTGGCTAGAAGATCAGGGGGTTCCCCCAGAGGAAAGCAAGTCCCTTTTCCAGGTGCCTTTGTCCAAGTCCTCTGCCTTTGTCCCTCACAAGTGCTAAAGGGTTTGTGTGTGAGCGGCCGAGAGACATGCTCTTGCCTCTCCATGATCCGGGAAGCAGCTCCTCTGACCCAAAATTGTTTGATTTTTTTCCCCCCGCCAGATTGATCCCTGAGCACAGAACCAGGAATAAGCCCTGAGCATACTGGGTGTGACCCCCAAACAAAGAAAGATTAAAGGGGCTGGAGTGATAGTACAGCACTTGGGCGCTTGCCTGGCAAGGGGAAGACTGTATCGGGATTTCTGTCTGGCCCCCGTAGGGTCTCCTGAGCCCTGGCACGAGTGATCCCGGTGAGCTGGAGACAGCTGGAAGGGCTAAGCACAGGCTTTGTATGCAGAAGTCCTGGGTCTTGTCCCCAGTACTACACGCACGGTCCCTGAGGCACCTCCAGGTGTGACCCCAGAGCACTGAATTGGGAGTAGCTTCTGAACTCTGCTGGGTGTGGCTCCAAATCAGAGAGAGAGAGAGAAGGGCTGGAGCGATAGTACAGGAGATAGGATGTTCGGTGGCACATGGCAGACCCAGGTTTGATCCGTAGATCAAATATGGTCCCCCAAGCAATGCCAGGAGTAATTTTTGAGTATGGAGACAGGAATAATCCCTGGGCATTCCCAGGTGTGACTTAAAAACAAAAATAAAAAAAAAGAAGAAAAGAGAGTTGGAGCTGGAGTGATAGCACAGCAGGTAGGGTGTTTGCCTTGCACACGACCAACCCGGATTCGATTCCCAGCATCCCATAGGGTCCCCCGAGCACTGCCAGGAGTAATACCTAAGTGCAGAACCAGAAGTAACCCCTGAGCATCACTGGGTGAAACCCAAAAACCAAAAAAAAAAAAAAAAAAAGTTGGTGCTAATACTTTTCCTCCTCCTACGCGCTTTCAAACACTCATTGGGGACAGTTTCCATTCAGACAGTAAAAGAAGAATTAAACTCTGCTCTGAATGGCTCAAGCTGCCTATATTTCAGGGAACAGTGGGTGAGGGCAACTTAGCAGCTGGAGAAATCTAGGAAAGCTACCTGGAGGAGAAAACCCTTTGAGTTGACCCTGAAGAACAGGCAGAAGTTGGGAAAGGAACTGAAAGGAGAAAAGTCATGTCTTAGAATTTTAGGACAGCTCAACAGGCTGGTATGTGGAAGACCCTGATTCAGTCCCCAACACTGCTTGGTCCCCTGAGTATCCTCAGGTGTGACCCCTACAACACAAACAACACTCAACCATCCCTGTTCTATCCCGGCACCACATTTGGTCTCCCATGCACCGCAAGGAGTGATCCCTGAGCACAGAGCCAGGAGTACGCCCTGAGCACTGCCGGGTCTGGCCTCCAAACAAAAACAAACAAACAAAAAATGCCCAGGGAACGAGTTCAGAGGGGCAAGACCAGGGAGCAGTGTGGGAGGTGACGTGTGGAGTGTGGCGGTGAGGGGGTGTGCAGTGAGGGGCCGGACCCCTGAGATAGACTTGGAGCCAACGGCAGCAGGGAGCTTTGCAGGGGGAAGCAGCCTGGAGCAGGCTGGCGGCAGGACTCGGTTGTGAGGCCCCACTGGCTAGCGGGATCACCTCTTTCCAGTTTCAGGGTCTCTCCAGTTCTGGCCCAGCATCCAGGGGCTCCTGGGGTGTGAGGGGTGTGCGTGGAGATGGAGCCTGGAGGGGTGGTGCTCATATGGGATGCCAGGGATTGAACCCTGCTTGCTGCGTGCAAGGTGGCTCTCTCCAGCCCCAGGGCTTATTATGATTAACAGGCAGGAAAGAAAGGGCTGGGGCTGGGGAGCCTGGTGGGATGCCTGCGTGCCTCAGTTTCCCCCATCTGAAACGTCTGTTCTCTCTGGGTTTGCCTCCCTGGCTCCCCTCAGCATGAGCACCAGAGAGATACAGAAGGAAACTGCTAGAATACTCAGTGAAGGTTTTGGGAGCCTTTCCTGAGTCCCTACCCCTGGGAAGGCCCCAAGAAGGGGATAGCCCCGGCCCCTTCTCCACACCCAGCTCTAAAGGGAGGAAACAAGCAAGGGTTCCAGCCTAACCAGAGTGCAGTCAGGGAGGGCTTCCCAGAAGAGGTGATACACAAGCCCAGCCCTGAGGGCTGTGCAGGAGGAGCTTGTGGGGCTGAGGAAGATCTGGAGGAGCAGCATGTGCTCAGCAAGGAGAGGGTGTGACCAAATTGCTACTCTAGAATGGTCCCTCTGGCATAACTCCTAGCTTTATGAGCAAAATTCCTGATGGACAATGACTTTCATCTTTGATGTCTTAAAAGAGACAAGAGCTGGTAAGAGCCCTTAGGCTTAGTACCGGGGAGCTGCTGGAATCTTTCCCAATGGCTAACCAAGGAGGAGGATGCCTGATTCCCAAATCAAGACCTCCAAGGCATCTTCCCTAGGGCCAGAAAGGGGATGAAGGGTAGAGAGCATGCTTGCTACCTTTTCAGTAAAAAAAAAAAAAGCCCAAAAATCCATTGTAAACGACCATGTAAATCACAGTGCCTGAATAAAAGAAAAAATAATATGTTTAATGTCCCCCAAAGGGGTGGAGAGATTGCAAAGTGGGTAGGGCACTTGCCTTAAAAGCAGTTCACCTGGGTTCAATCCCCGGGTCCACAGAGCCCCACCAGGAGTGATCCCTGAATGCAGAGCCAGGAGTAAGCCCTGAGCACTGCCCGGGGTGGCCCAAAACAAAGATAACAGGGGAGGGGGGAGAGGGGAGAAGGAAAATGAGTTTTTTTGAATTTTCACTTGAATTCGCTAAGAGCTGGGGAGTTAGTGCCCTGACTGAGAACATCTTTGCCCACAGGAAGTCCAGGTTTGCTTCTTGGCACTTCATGGTACCTGAGCACTGCAGGGATCATGACACTTGAGCACTAAACTGGGAGTAACTCCTGAGCACCACCAGAGTGGGATCTAAAAGCAACAACAGGGGCTGGAGTGATAGCATAGCAGGTAGGGCGTTTGCCTTGCATGCGGCCGACCCAGGTTCGATTCCCAGCATCCCATATGGTCCCGTGAGCACTGCCAGGAGTAATCCCTGAGTGCAAAGCCAGGAGTAACCCCTGAGCATCACCAGGTGTGACCCAAAAAGCAAAAAAATATAAATAAATAAAAATTTAAAAATATAAAAGCAACAACAATTTGCTAGGGAAAATCTCCAGGACAGCGCTGCCCACAGCATCTTCTCTGCTGATGGAAAGGCCGACTGCTCACCAGTCCCAGGGTGGGGATCACTAAAATGGGGGGGCGGGGGGGCTGTGCTGAAGAGTCGAAGGGTTGCCTGTCTGTCTGTCTGTGACTACAGGGATCCGATCCAGGGCCTGCATCCTGTGGGAAGGAGGTGCAGTTTTCTTTCAGTTTACTTTTTGGATCACACCCAGCAACGCTCAGGGGTTCCTCCTGGCTCTGCACTCAGGAGTTACTCCTGGCGGTGCTCGGGGGACCATATGGGATGCTGGGAATCGAACCCGGGTCGGACGCGTGCCAGGCAAACGCCCTACCCGCTGTGCTATTGCTCCAGCGCCTCAGTTTACTTTTTAAATGTATGTGGGATGTGGCTCGGTGGTACTAATAAGGATCATAATTTTCATCATTATTGCTGGTGTGAAAATGAATGTTTCCTGAGCTGCTGGGTTTTTGAGGATTATATGAAAGATTCGCATACAAGACTCAGAAGGTGAAAAAATATGTATTGTACGGTTCAAATAGATGCGTCCAGATTTCTCCCCATGTCCACCTCTAGCCTTGTTCTGTCTTAGGGTGCCTGGCGCAGTGTCTGACTTCCTAAATCCTCTCCTACATCAATTTATTTATTTCAGTTTGGGGGCCACACCCAGCTG